CTTATGTTTTCGTAGTAGGAAGATAAAAAAATGTTCTCCTAAATAATGTCGGTTACATCACGGTTCATACTCCAATTGCAAGTGTGAGTTTATAATCGTAAAAAAATATTTTTTCGTATAGAATAACTACAAATTATCAATTTCCATAGTTTTTCTTTTACTTTTGAATTAAGTCTTTCTTTTTAACAATATCTCATAATTCTAGTTCAATGGAAAGTACCCTGTAGGTTCTGATTTACTTCGTAGTTCTAGAATATAAAGCACCAATGGCCGTATTTTTTATTTCATTGACTTAGAAAATTAATTTTTTTACAGCTTCAAGGGGTCGCGGCTAAAATTATTTAATGTTAATTTCAACTTGATACCGTGACATGTTTTTGAGAACAACTGAAAAACGCTCTTGACAGACGGGCAAAGCGACAGACGGACAGACAGCTGAGAGAGTGATCCTACAAACATTCGTTTTTCCTTTAGAGATGATGAACCTCAACAATAATGTGGAAATAAGTAAATGCAAGTGTTTATTAATAGAAAGCATTTTATTCTGAAAAATAGTAACAAATATGTCTTATCGAAGAAACTATTATCGTTGTATACTATACTATGTGTTTCATTGTACAACATTCAAAAAGCAGATATTGGCTTTGGCAGATATGATTTTATTTTAAACTTCTTTGCATTTCAAAAAACCTCTTTGGATAAAATGTTAGAAAAGATCGTTTTCTTATCGCTTATATCTCAGATTTACGATATATGATATAGATATACGATAAGTATTTCGTCTACATATACGAACCTATGAAAAAACCATTCGAAAAAATAGGTTCCTATAAATGTAATCCTACCATTGGATGCGTTTGATCTTGTGTTTCAGTAAGAAACGTAGCGAAATTTACTTGTATTAGGATTCTTTTTTCTTATAAATTGGACAGGGATTATGGAATCAGATAGTGTGATGTTAATGTGGATCATAAGCACAGTTTTATCAGAGTGAATTAAGTGAGCTGTAATAATATACTCGCCTGGGTTATCATTAACCTTGCACCACAAATTTATCTCTGATTAAAGTTAATATTCCTAATTAAGCATTTTTTTTTTCAAATTACTTTATGATCTTGAACCAGATGGGTTTTAAGAAGTACAAGAATCTTATTGAATCGAAGAAATTGTTTAAATATTACTTTATTTCTTTGTATAGAATCAGAAATAAAGAAAACCAACTATTTGGAATCAACTTACGAATTTTAATATAAGACGGTATGCGCTGGTTATGTAATGGTATTTCTAATTAGAAATAATATCAATCTAAATTGCCATCAAACACAATAATTTTGCCTTCGCGACGGAGGATATTAGTGATATATCTTGAAGGTACAACATTAATTTTAAACTACTTATTTATCTTTGTTATTAGCGGTAAAGTTAATCTTCAAAACGATATCTCAATCATTGGTTTTGGTGAATTTGCCGGCACGCCAAATCTTCTTTAATACCGAGAGAGATATCGTAAATACCCGACAAAAAAAAACACGTTTATGAAATTACATAAGGATTAGGTTGGATGAATTTTAAAAAATATTTAACTATCCGTATCCATTAAATCAAAATTGGTTGTAATGAACATGGTTAGAAGTATGATTTGTTACCACAAGTTATGAAGTTACTTTCAAAGTGTGGGTTATGCAACTTAGGGGAGATAAGTCTTTCGGTGAAGGCGATTAAATTATTCTACGTCATCGTTGATACTACATAATACATAAGTCATGTATTATACATATGTATATATTCATCGACGAAGTACGTGTTAGGATCTTATTGAGAATGTCAAGTAAGGGCAATGACCATGAATATTCCTCGTTGTTGACCCGTCACGCTGTTTGTATTCGATTTGTCGCCGCATTACACATATTATTATTTAAATGCGTTTCGTATTCAGATTTTCACACATGTGTCATATATTGTCGTTTTGTCTATAGTTCGTTGTATTTATGCAAAACGAGGAAGCAAATTATGAAATTATTGTTTTCCATTTTATTCACACTAACTTTCACGAACTGATGCTAGCTGACGGTACATAAAAGCAAACCGGGCCCTTTGCTTTCCCTTCAGGTTCGAATTTAACGCATTGTATGCATCTAAACGAAACGCATACAGACCATTATGATGCTATCAGAGTCCATCAAACCCGAGTGCGGGATAGAAAGCGGGACAATGTTCACGCTGGACATCAATATCGAAAGCCAAATCTGACCAAAGTCTTCAGTACGATCGGGTTTGGAACTGAGGGCAGACTGTGACAGGATCCGACTGCGGGAGCTACGATGGAATCTTGGGCTAATATGGAGATCCGAGTTGATAACCAGTTCGCGGAAGAAAATGGCTTAAGATAGAATCGATATAAAAGATCTAACATAATATATATTTGATGCGTAATGTACTACTAACAAAGTTTATTGATATCTGATACCCTGGTATATTTTTCATGTGATTTGTATCAAAAATTAACATCCCAAGAGCACAAATACCAATACGAATTTAATATAAAATATTGTCATTGGTCAAACGCGAGTCGTACTCGTCTATACGTCTATACATTCGTCTATTACATTGTCTGTCATAGCCAATTCTCCCAGAAACCGTTGGGCGTAACAATTCCAAGCATATTTTGTAGAACACGAATAGTTAAAACCATTAAATATATTTACGTGATGATTTCATTCAAACAAATGAGAAATCTAGATTTATAAAAAATGGGCATCGGTTGAACTTGGCATTTCTTATTTTTTTGGACATTTCTCAAATGAAAATAATTTACGTGTATGTTGACTTTCGAACTGCAAAATCTCGCCACGCGCGAGCCTATCTTAATATAAGTTATAGATCAGTCATAAAAAAGGAGATCGACATTAACGCACGACACAAAGAAAAAGTCTAACCGAAAAAACACTTTGTACATTAAATATGCAATATTAAAGAAATTCAGGCCAACTTCACAATCGCTTGACAGGCCAACCCCACAATATACGTGACGAATAATTGTGGCGAGCGCGTTGTCATTACATTGAACTACTTTCGTGTCACAAATACTTGATATCGTTCCAGATCACTTGTGTAGGTATACTAGACTAAATATACGTCTAAGTTCGATATCCATAGTGCATGGGTCCAGAACCTAAAAACGAACAGACTAAAGAACATCAACTAAAAGAATGATGCGAATGTAATGATGTATTAAACCAAATGTAGCAATTATGTTGAAGCTTTGGTGTTATAAAAACATAATTTTGTTTGTTGGAGCGATATTAATTACCGCTTTTTTTTATTTAATTTTATTGTAATTAACTTACCGATAATTATCGGTTGTTGTAGTACATATTTTACGCATAGGGGAATTGGAGCCTACTAAGGAAAAAGCTCAACGAAAAGCAAATTTATGTATACTTTAAAAACTATTTATTAGAAACAAAATCTTTACTTATTTGACTATCATTTAATCACAGCGTCGACTTTACATTATTAGGCAATTGACCACTGACAAACATTTTTCAAAAAAAACAGAATTCATTGTGAAACAAACATTACTTTGATACAATACTTTGTGCCCTTAGAAATGAATTGTTAACCTTTACAGCTGATAAGATTTTGGAGAGTTTGGTTGATTAGCTTGAGAATTATTAAGAATACACTTTAAAATTGCTTCCAAATATTGTATTATTGGAGATATTTTCGAATAAATATGACTAATTAAAACATTTGCCATACAAATTTTTGAAACGCGAATGTTATCATAGGTGTTCCGAATTTCGTTCAATCAACAAACCCTATCAAATGCCACAAGGCTAATTTCAATCATCGATTTGTTTAAAAGTAATAAAACATTTATACAAATACCCAGACGCACGCGCTGACGCGTACGCACGCACAGTATCAGGTGACCACGCGTGTATAAATATATATATATATATATATATATATATATATATATATATATATATATATATATATATGCCATTCTGTCACTAGTAAAAAAATAATGATAACCTCTAGAATTTTAAAACATTGACATCTAGTCACATTTTGATTTCCAAAATGGGACTGAAAATAGTGATTCAATAAGATGTTTTTTTCCAGTTTCATTAACAAAAAGATAATTAAATTAAAATCTAAATTTCCTTAATAACGATAATTACACAATATTAAAATAGAACAGTAACCATATCATTAGAATCCTTATATTCCGAGTAACACTGACTAAAAAAAACTCAATATGGCGGGCAATATGAAGGGCTCCATTTCCAAATGTGAAAAAATAAATCTTCAATTATTACAATATGAGTATCAAATGGAAGGCCTTGATGAGCGTGTTCCAAAACTGTATAATTCATATGCACTTTTTTACATAGGTAGGGTGTACATGGAAAATAAACATTTCATCTTTGCCTACAAACGATTTCACGAGACTGACAGTATTAAATAACAATTTAATACTGCAAATGTCTAAACGAGTGAATAGTTTGATAGATGATTGAGTAATACGAGAAATTCTTACACCATTACACAAGTAATATAAGCTAGTGAAATTAAAAAAAAAATTAAAATACGACTGTTCTGCTCTGAAAAAGTAAAAGATAAGTTGTGTTAGTTAATTTGTATCTGCAAAGCGAAAGTCACTCATTTACTCGCTGACTAAACAGGTATAGAAAATTATCATTACAGTAGGAGGACCGTTCTGTGGAACATTTTTTAATCTAAGAGGTGCAATCACATTTTATTTATCGGTTTGATCGAAGGGTAAATGACCTTTTGTATTATTCACTAACACAACTGGTTTTTTACTTTTAGGTAATTTTTTTTGCCTTTTTTATCTTTATTTCGGAACGAATTTCCTTATCGCACGTTAAACTCAGGCGCTCGACGGATGGGAACTACGAGAAAAAAAAGTGTAACCACAAAGAAAAATGCCGACCGCTGTAGTTAACTTTTTTATAAATTTGTTTTTTAACGACCATACCACGCTGAATAACACCGGCTGTCGTCCGATCACCGAAGTTAAGCAACGCCGGGTGGTGTCAGAACCTGGATGGGTGACCGCCTGAGAACACCGCGTGATGTTGGTTTTTTTTTGGTGTTGCATTATTTTTATTGTAATTTATAATAAAATATAAACTATAATATGTATTATAATATTTTATTAAAATTCTTTCATTCTTTTCGTTGTATTTTTCATTTCATTCCTTTCAAAGGTTGTTAATTAATTTAATTATGCTTGTATATCATTTATAATTCCCTATTTTTGTTCCTAAAATATTAAATGAAACTCTTGGATTCTCTCAGTACTGGAGAGTATTCAATTTTAAACTTTCAATAAATAAATACTTATACATATATGTGAAAGTGACATCTGTCGTTGATTTCATAATTACGTAATTGTGCAAATTGACAAACTTAACGAAGTCTTTAATAAATAAAATATATGGCGCTGTTCAATGCTTTACAATTTTAATAATTAATTAAAGAAATGTTTATTTACAACTTACAAATATTTCTTACCATTCATTCGATTATATTATTATTATTTATTTACTCTCAAATGTTTTAATTAATTTCATTTTTTTAATCAATCATAATATATATTTGTATACATCGAAAGGAACTTCGTTCCAATCAAAAACACCTCATGAGTTTTTTATTTTAATTAAACTAACTACTTGGTCACGTCAAGCAAATTAGATTTTGACAAATAATAAACCATTGTGAAGTAAGTATTTTAAACAAAAATTGGACAAATGCAAGTAAAACTTGCAGCCTAAAGGTTCACACAAATATTGATAATTAATTTTTGTTCTTTTTGAAATAAAAAAACCGTATCCGTTGAGCACTCAGAGAATTTTTTTTGTATGCAAATCCGGGTCAACCCGATAGCAAAACTCTATATAGAAGGAAAGTGGAAAAATACTGAAACATTTACAAAATTATCTTGATAGAAACACATTATCGATACTTATTTCGCGCACGCGAAAATGTATTTTCTTTATCACTTCGATGATGAGCTTCATTAACGGTAATTAGGAATAATGTCCGCTATTATTCCTAAAACAATATTATCATTAAGTAGATTAAATCAAATTGTGTTGCGCAGCTAACAGCAAAACATACTGATGTTATTATTAAGTTAGTGTTGATGATTATTTAGTTAGTTATTATATTATACTACTTTCCATACAACACTTTTTATATAGAATGTAGACATGATAATACAATTTATGATCGTGATATTGAGATAAACCATAACACTCTTCGTATAGGAAGTTGTGAGCCTGAATTCAATTTCAATAAGAAATAGCATAAATACTAAAATGTTTATGCAAAAGAAAAAATGGAAATGTGTACATTGTGTATAACGGAGTTCAGTTCTGTGGCACCTACCTACCTATACAAAATTAGATATTTAATATAACTTATAACTATATCGTCTTACTTAGCAGTATGGTTATTCGCTAACGATTTACACACCTATTTTAATTGTAATTTCTTAGCCTAAGAGCCTCTCCCACCGTATCGTTTTAAACTGACATTTGATAAAAAATAGTACGTGGTGTCCCTCCGCGCGGAAGAAGTCAAACTTCGTAATGTGGAAATGAAAATAGGAAGGGGTAGAAATTGATTTTTATCGAACTCATATTGTTTCTTTAAGACAAACTTTATTAACATTGCTTACAATTCACAATTGATCGCATCTTTTAATTATCATTTTCGAGTGGAGAAATATCCAAATCTATAACATTTTCAATGTGATTATGATAACTGAAGTAATAAACGAAATGTTTGAATAACCACGCGCATGTGCTTGGGATCTACCGACTCACTCTCTTTTTCTCTCCTACTTTCTACCTTTGTGTATCTTTCTTTCTCTCTCCCTCTTGCGTTGGAATATTGGACGCTACTCGTTGCTAACGCTCGCGCTGGCCTGGTATACTACTACGCGCATGCGTTCGAGTGCCATGCATTCACACTCGCTCTGTCTCTTTCTATTCCCCCTTCCCAGGAGCGTTGAACGTTTAACGCAACAGTGTTTTCGTACCCCCTCCATGGTAGCGTTAAACGTTTAACGCAAGCTTGTTGGAAGTCGAATTAGAAGTTTCACTTCAAAAAGTCACAAAATCAAATTTTTTCATCCCATGCCCTCGTTTAACGGTGGTTCATACTAGAATCCGTTGGAGACATGGCACATAATTTGTATTTCAAAAGAGATTTTTGATAAATGTCAGTTTAAAAGAAAATTATGGGAAAGGCAATAAGAGTCGAAATTGCGATAAACTCGAAACGGTAAGTATAAACCTATTTTGTCTCGAAAGAAATTTCATTTTGAAAACCTGTTTATTTTAATTTATTTTTATGTGTCCGTCGGTCACAGCCAGTGAATAAGAAAATAAAAAAAGAGCTTTGAAAACTGTACCACGTGACATAACAAATGAAAGCGATTGTGAGGGTTTAATATATATATATATACATATATGATTTTTTTATAAGTTTAAAGAGCATACTTAATGCACATGACTTTTTTTTTGTTCTATCCTAAAAGTAGTAATATTTTTAATCGTTAGTTAAGTTAGTTAGTGTAAACTTTAAAAAAAACAATAAATAAAAATGGATCAAATGTGAGCGGGGCTCGTCCTAAGAATGCGCAAAATATTGAAAATATTTTTTCAAATATTTAAAAAATATATATTATGCGATGAGTTGCGCACGAAACCCTCCGTGCGCGACAGTTCCGTGGTCCGACTCGTATTTGACCGGTTTATTTTTATGAGACTCTCGTAAAAGTTCAAATGACCATTTTAGAAGAAAGAATGATCCGAACCAATCCAGGAAAAGATTGGCAGTAGTGTTCAAGTCTTTTTATTTAATCAATATAGAACTATTTTAGATTTGTATTAAAGTGGAGTAGACTTTTTTTTTCAAATTACTATAACAAATAGACAGTATACTTATTTCTATTGTCTGAAATGTACAATAACTTGGTAAGTAATTTATTACGAAACAAAGAGACTGTAATCGAGATTTCAGGGGACATTTTATCGAATATGTTTTAAAGACGTAATATGCTTTGGTCTTAACATGAACGGCGTTCCAACGGACACACAAACTTAGTGAACCTATACGACTACACAAATAGACCTTGTAAATATTATCGATTTATTCCTTGTATACAGACAACAGAACCTCTCGTTACACTGTTTACATTTTTTCCCCTATCGTGTTTTATATACCTTTTTATTCCCCCTATCAGTTACTAAAACAATAATCCTTTGGTAATTCTTTTATCAGGATAACCGTTTTTAATCGCATACTGTGATCACGATAACTTTATTAATTCATATATTATTGATAAAGACATACTTTTATGGGTATAGCCAATAACCCGCACACACATTGAAATTAATCAATTCTGAATTTCAGTATAATCCTGATAGCGATCACCTCTTTGTTTTTTTTTTTCATGCAAGAATGAACGCAACTTTCGTATGACAAACAAATTTTCATATTAATTAATGCGTCGGTCTATTGCAATGACATATCATAATACAGCAATTGAGGAGCGTGGATCGCGATACAATCAACAATGATGATAAAATTGATTATTGATTGACTCGGATTCACATGGCACGTGCCGTGACCGCTCCGCGGCCCTGGCCCCGCGCACTTGGACACCATTTCGTCGCGAATTATTTCACAATGAGCCACTTAAATCTTTTATCGTATCTATGAAACGACAGGTTATGATGAACACAACAACAAAACATAGGTAAGATATATTGTTTTGTTGGCTAAAACCAGTAGTCGGTTAGGAATCGAATATGTATTATGATAGTCGTAAGAAAAAAAGATTTTTCCCGCTAGACGATGTTTTGAAACTATGAGTTAAGTTTTGAGTGGAATCCACATGTTTTATATACGCAATAGATTGACAATATACATTTGCATCAAACTGGTTAGTCATAGACACGGTCGAGCTTACACAGATGGTTTGAAATTGTATTTACATTTATAATTAGCAGTTCAATAACATGTAACACATATTTTTGCAAAATGATCGTACGTTTCTATGGTTTTGACTTTAAGCGATTTTACTATTTAATAAAAATTACCAAAAATTAAAACACGATAGTAAATTAAGAAATTATGTATCTATTTTCTTACGGATGTCTTTCCATGATAAAAATGTTCATGAGATAAATATTATAATTTTCTGATACATTAATATTAATTTGTATAATTTTGAAGTCGGTTATAATAAAACTCAAACATATATCTACTAATAGAAGACCGATAAACCGTCCGACTTCTGCTAGTCTATTTAAAAAAAAAAAAAAAGTATTTCTGAACACTAACCCCATTTTTAATGTGTGGCGTGTATCGAATAATGTTATGTAAATATTTTCGACTTACCATCTCTGTTACAATTTAAATACTCCTTAGTTATATAAACTTAACTATTAGCCTAATACGAAAGGCACAAAACACAAGTTAGAGGACGTAATGCGCAGGCGGCGATGCGGAAAGAATGGCCTGTTAGACTCGCACGCGGTCGTTTTATACTAGAAGCCGGAATCTGACTTATCCTTACATCTGATATAGTTTGCCTGTTTGTTCCATTCTATATTTGATTTTTTTTTTTTTAAAGACAACGATTAGAACATTTTCAATCGCGGGCCGGAGTTGACGTGTTGCGTAAAATTCGTTGCTAAAATATTGAAATGTTTTTAGATTTATGCGTGTTGATATTTTTCAGTATCGATAATCTAGTAATAATTTAAATTAATTCATTGAAGAAAGTTGAAATAAGCGATAAAGAAAATAATAAATGTTCCGTGATGCAAACGAACTTCTAATTTCTTAATCCGTAAATAAATTAAAATAATTATAGTTTAAAAAGACTAAAAAACACGCTTTTAAAGCACATTAAACTAAAAAGTGAAAAATAATCCTTAATATGAACTAAAAAAAATAATGAGCAATGACGAAAAATACTAGTATTATTGTGGAAAAAGCGTGGGGCGCTTTGTGTCACATTTTTCGTATATAGAGCAACCCACGCTTTTTCCACAATAA